GCTGGGGGACCTTGGGCAGCTTGATGGGGAGAGCCATCTCTCCTCATCCACTTCTCTGGCTGTCCCCCAGAGACTGGCTGTGAGACCACTGAGGTGCACGGTGCCCTGTCCTGAGAGCCCAACCCTGGAGGGACCATGCCCAAAGCCCTCAGCATGTGCGCCCCACGTGATAGGCCCTCAGCTGATGAGCCCTTGGCTTGGCCTGGGCGTCTTGGCCCTGGGTGGGTTGCATGGCCCTGCAGGCCCCATTCTCCACCCCAGGGAGGGGCTGATCTGGCTGCAGTGGTAGCATCTTAGAGCCCCTGTGCTGGCCTTTGAAAGAGAAGTGCCCCCCCACCAGCCCGCAGCAGATATCAAATATCACTCCAGCAGCTTCCCTGGGCTCACACCAGGATTTGCTGGTGAAAGGTCAGAATTTGAACTCCAAAGCCAGTGTCCACCTCAAATCTGCTGCCTGCCTGGTCCAAGCTGGCTGTGCTGACTCCTAGAGGCTAAATCTTGGGGTTAATTCCTGGATTAGTCTTTTACTCATCTGAAAAGTGAGGAGGGCCACACCTGTTTCGCTGGTTGTTTGGGGTGTCCTGTCCAGTGGTTTGGGGTGTCCTGTCATCGTAACCATAACATTCAGAGGCAGGGCCTGCATCCAATGCTCATGATTGTGACATGACCTCAGCCCTGCACACAGGTTAGAGAAATGAATTTCATCACCATTCACAGGAGGTGCCTTCTTAATTGATCCCTGGGTATCTCCCAGGATTCACTTGTACTTCTCGCATAAAATGCCAATTGACGCCCTCAGCTGGCAGGCCCTTCTCTGCAATGCCACATCTGCTCCCACCCGCCACTAAACTGTCAGCTTACCAGACATGAGTTGGAAGTGTCCCAACCAGTTGGTGCCAGCTGGGTTTGCATAGCTCCAGAACGTCACCGGAGATGATGCCAGTCCCGGGCCAGTTTGCCCACAAATCCACTCTGCCTGTTTCCCTGTTTGGCTCTGTCACACAAAGGTTTGATGGCATGGGCTGCATTTCCTGAGCTCCTCAGCAAGCTGGTCCCCACTACATTCAACCAATGGGAGGCACCAAGAGATGAAAACTGAAAGCAAGGGAGAAGCTGGGGTGTGTCTCCCTCTATTCTCTGTCTCAGGTGATACCTCCATGTGGCTAAGTCTCCTCTGTTTCTCTAGCAAATGCTGACTGGCCCATCAAGTTCCTGCTTCTGCTGGGGAGCCCAGGTAACCCCACCTCTCTCTGTGTCCGTCTTACCCAAAGGGTAAGTGGCTAAGCCAATGCTCACACTGGGGCTCCTCGCTGTCTCTGGCTTCTCAGCTCGTCCCTCGCTGTGTTGCTAACACTCCCTAAGTTAACTCCCAGGACTCAGTGTGGCTCCTGGTTTCCTGGTTGGACTCTGACTGATGATGATTATGCTGTGAGGTTAATCGTGTGAGATGCCAAACAGGAGCCTCTGTTTCTGTGCAAGCTGGGTTGCAGACTTTGAGAAGAGTTAATGAAGGCAGGTTGCTAAAAAATTAATTGAATTTGCTATGGGTAGGACATTGTAAAAGATGGGAAGAAACAGTACAATCTAGGAGATGCTGCATGCTCATTCCTTCCTTAACATCTTTACATTCACGTTCCACTTTAAAGAAATCAAAACTACACCAGGTGTGGCAGGGCATACTTGTAATCCCAGAACTTAGAGGGCAAGGCAAGAGACTCACCTGAAGCCAGGAGTTTGATATCAGCCTGGGCAACATAGTGAGACCCTCTCTCTACGGAAAACTTTTTTGAATTAGCTGGGTTTGGTGGTGCACATTTGACATCCTAGCTACTCGGGAGGCTGAAGCAGGATTGCTTGAGCCCAGGAGCTTAAGGCTGCTGTGAGCAGAGACTGCACCACTGCACTCTAGCCTGGGCAGCAGAGCGATATCCTGTCTCTAAAAAAGAAAGAAGAAAAAGAAAAGAAAAAAGAAACCCAAACTGGGAATTGTTAAGCTAGAAGAGGAAGGTCATTTAATGCACATTTGTAAGTTTAAAGCTAAAAGAAGGGTTCAAGATACTACTTTTATGACTCCCTTTTATTTTTATATAATATTTCTTATGATTTCCTTCATCAGCCACATTTTTTAATTAACCTGATTTAAGGTTTTTTTCAGTGGAGAACAAGAGGAAGGCTGGCTGCCCACTGCGTGACAGGGGAATGCACAGTCAGAATCTCAAGGGAAGGGAGTCCCTGGAACTTGAGCGCCTGCTATGTGCCAGACACACTCACAATTATTTTCTTATTGAATCCTCTTTACAATTTTGGGAGGTGGGGAGTACAATTGGCCCCATTTCACAGGCTAGGAAACCAGGGCTCAGCAGAGTAAAGCCTGTTGCCCAGGATCTCCCAGCTCATGAGAAACAAAGCAGGCTTCAGGTATGGCTGGTTTCAGCCTCCTTGTCCTTTCTGCTTCCCCAGACAGCTTCCCCAGGGCTGTTTAAAGCCTATCACATGCTTATGAGGGGGCATGTGGAGATGACAAGCCCCTTAGCGGCAAGGACCAAGCCTGGCCCTCACTTGCCACATTGCCCTGAGCATGCATTGAAGTACTTGCTGCTCAGATGTGACACTGGGCCCTGCACAGCCTTGTGAATTACCTCCCTTTCCTGGGCCTGGACTCAGGTTCCCAGGGAGGGGGAGCCCCTCAGGGTGATCAAGTTATAGGGGCTTAGGGGGGCCTACTCTTAGGTGTGGAAAAAACAGCAAAGCACGTAGCGTGATGTGTTCAAAACTAGAGGTGGTGTTGGTGGAATGGAAACAGCTCCTGGGATGGGAAGCAGGGGCTTGGGTTCCACTGACTCATTGGGTGAGCTTGGATGAGTCTCTGCCCCTCTGGGGGCCTCAGTTTCGGCTTCTGTATAAGGGGGGGGGGTCTTCCCAGCTGTGTCATTCTCCTATCTATTTCACACCTGGCTGACTCCAAAGTTCATCAAATTCAACCAGGAGGTCAAGGCCCCTTGGCAGGCTCCCCCTGTGCCACTGACCCCTGATGGTCCCACGCAGGCTGGCCAGCTGATGAGTTTACAACGAAGGGTGGGGGTGGGGCAGCCTCTCCCCTTGCATGACTGTGATAGCTCCTTACTTGATCTGACTCATAACGGAGCCCAGATCGCGTCATGGAGTCTCAGCCAAGGACACCAACGTTTATGATGCCCTCACCCCATGTTCGTCCCTTTGAAGGTGTTATCCCCATTTTACAGGGAAGAAAACTGAGGCCCAGAGAAAGGAAGTGACTTGCCCAAGGCCTCACCGCTCAGATTTAGCAGAGCTGGGGCTGGAAACCAAATCTGACTCTCGAGCCCTGTGGTTGTCACCATAAACCTGCTTCCTCTCTGGCCAAATTAGAACGCCAGTCCCTGCCACCCCACCCCCAGCACCAGTCGACTCACCATTTAGGGACAGAAGAATGAATCTTCATGAGGCTCCAGATGAGGCTCGGAGTGAATGTTTCCAAGGGCATTTACTCACCTGTGGCTGGGGCGCAAACAAGTCTCTTTGGGACCTTGGAGCAGCCCCTCCTCTTCCAGGGATTCCCCACCCTCACCCCTGTGGGCCTACAGTGGCCACTGTGAGTTCAAGGCCAGTGCTAGGGTCTAGCCCCAAGCCTGGGATCCCTGGGAGAGGCCAGGGGGTGGAGGCCAGGCTGCAAAGGAACTTGCCGAAGGTTTCATATGAAGGGCATGGATGGGCACTCTGGTGTCATGCCTAAGGCCAGGGCTATGAGTCAGAGGCAGAAGTTCCAATCCCATTCCAGAATACTGCATGGCCGTAGACAAGCTGGTGTCATCACCCTGGGCCTGACAGCCTGGCCTATGACATGGGAGAGCAGAGCTTGCAAAGGAAATGGTAAGAGCTGCCAACTTTCCCCCACTCTCCACCCTCCCTCCAATACTGACATGGCTTCGGTTGCATCGTCTTCCATGACTTTTCTACTTTTCAGCCTCTCTGAGCCTTGAATCCTCAAGGGCATGAGGGTACAAAGGGCGCTTCAGGTTGGGGGAACAACATGAGCAAAGTCCTGGAGGCAGGAAAGCTCCCGAGCATCGGGCTAGGGCAGAAACCCCCAAGGGGATGCACAGGTTGGGGGGCAAGAAGAGCAAAGAGCCCAGAATGACGTGTCGGGCCTCAGCCCCCAGCCCTGTGGAGGGCCTCCCAGCACAGCCAGGCCACCAGGTTTTACCCGGCAGGCCCTTCTCAGTGGGCAGGCTGAGGCCGGGAGTAAGTGCTGGCAATAGCACTTTACGGGTTTCCCATTGTACTTAGTCTCAACACCATAAAAGCCCCAGAGGTACCCTGAGCCACACGTGTGGACCCCTCTCCCTAGCAACAATGCTGGTGGACAATGGCAAGGTGTCAGCCACAGCTCGGGGGCAGCGAGGTGTGGCAGGGAGCTCTCCTGCTGCTGGTGGTGGATCCAGGCTCCAGGCACTCGGTGAGGGGCCCACAGGACTCCCAGCCCGCCCAGGCCAGTGCTGGCCTTAATTACGAAGGAGTCTCCCACCCAGGAGCCAAACCACCCTCCTGACCGCGCCCACTCCAACTGCTTTCAGTTCTGTTTCTTGGGCCGCGTGCTGAGGCCAGCCCCACAAATAAAAGCCATCACTTTTCTCTCTCTCTCTCTCTTTCTTTCTTTTTCCTTTTTTTTTTCTCTTTTCCAAAAAGAGAGGCAGCCACAAGATCATCTAAAAGGCTGTGACATCACGGCCCAGGTGACCGCGGCCCAGCCAATGAGTCAAGGCCGCAAGCAGGCTTCTCGCATCCTGTGAGCTGAGGTTGGGTTGACACTGGGAAGGCCTGGTCCCTCAACCACAGAACCACAAGGCCAGGCCCTCGCCGCCTCCAGGGCCCTGCGCAGGAGCTGGTTGGCTCCTGGTGCTCCCCACCCCCGGCCGCCCTTGCACCCACTGGAGCCTGGGCTCTGTTGAGGGTAAGCATCATTCATTCATTCCCGGTGGCGCTGGAGGGGGCCTGCTGTGCTCTGTCAGCCTCGGAGCTCCTCCACCCTGGCTGCCGAGAGCCCCTTCCCGCCATCTAATGATACACTCTGCATTCGCTTCTGTTGAGAATTTGTGGCTAGACATTCCTGTGGGACCGGGAATCCAAATTCTTGGGTACAAACAGAAACTTACTTTCCTTGGGGATTTTTTTCTCTCTCACTCGCACACACTCTCGCGTTCTTTCCTTTTTTCTTTTTCGTAGCAGCAGGGGGAAAAAAAAGAGACAACCCAAAGCAACAAAAAGCAACACCCCCCTCTTTTATTTTCAAAAGTAGTTAGAAAAAAAATAACAAAACAACAGCCAACCAAGTCAATCCCAACCCTCCCCCTTAAGGGCTGAAAGTTCTCGCCTTCTTGAGAGCCGGGCATGGCATCGAACAGCATCTTCGACTCCTTCCCGACCTACTCGCCGACCTTCATCCGCGGTGAGTAATGATTGCCCAGGGCCCTGGGTGGGGAGCTGTGGCCAGACCCCGGACCACGGCCCTCCACCGACCACCCTGGCTGCCCTCAAGTGCACAGCCTGTCTACCTAAATCCGCTGGCCTCTTGAAAGCCTGAGGTGGGAAGAGGGGTTGGTGGCCTCTGTGGTCTCTTGGCATGAAACATAGCTGTGGCACTTTTATCCTTTACTGGTGGGGACAGTAAGCGGTGGGGGCGACAGATACTCCAAGACCTCAAGACCTCAAAGGGTAGCCCTCAGAGGGGCCAAGGGGGACTCTCAGGGACCCTCAGCTTCCTGCTTCACTAACAGGGCTCCTGGGCCTGCAGTCCCAGCCCCTGTCCTGCCTGGGACTCCACACCTGGGCTCAGGAGGTCACTTCAGGCAGCGTCTGGGGAGAGCCGTGGGATCCGAGGGTCTTCCTGAAGACCACTGCCCACGTTTCGAGCATAACTCCTGGGATATTTTCAGAAGCAGAGGGCGGGGAAGGAAGCCACAGGCTTTTGCAGTAAACTGCGCAGAGCTGGGCTGCACTGAAGCTGGACCAGCACAGGGCTGGGGGACAGACCTTGAGAAAGTGTGCGGATTTGTCCATGGAAGAGAAGAAAGTGTTTCTGGGCAGCTTTTGCCTTTTGTGGTGGCCTGCAGGGGCGCAGAGTTCTGGGTTGTGTACACCAGCAAGCACAGGGGGTCTGGGGTCCCCGACCTGAAGTCTCTCATGGGGCTGGGACTCATGGGGAGACTTCCCCTGCCTCTGGCACTTCAGGCTGACATACATTGGCCTCAGGTACCCACTGCGGACTTCCTCCTCCCCAGCAAGAGCCCAGCTGGGGCTGTGGCACCTGAGTCGGGGGATCAAGTCCCTGAGCTCAAGTCCCACAGCTCAGTGACTTCCTTGCTGAGAGACCTTAGAGGCGAGTTACTTAACCTCTCTGTGCTCCAAATAGAGTCCCCTCTGCTTGTAGGATTCTCATCATCTGAGGCTGGGGGTGGACCATGTATAAGGGCAGTACCTCTGGATGGTTCTTCGGGACGGGTTCGCCTCCAGAATAGAGGGGCTGCCTGGAATCTAGAACTTCAGCACTGGGGGCTGGTACTGCCTTTGTCGGCCAAGGCAGTCAGCAGAGGTGCAGAGGTGGGTCTGCCTGCCTGTCTGCCCTCCTGCCCATCAGCCTTCGGTGCCGCTGGCTGACCAAGTGATTCAGGGCTGGTGCCAGGGCGGCAGGCTCGTGGCAGGGACCCAGGTACATTCGGGTGTTCGAGTCTACAGGCTTCTGGGAAGCTTGTCTGAGAGCAGGGCCTGTTTCTCTTCCCTGGTGAGGCTGAGGCAGGCCGTGCTGCTGCAGATGGGGACTGAGTCCAGGAGAGAAGGGCACCTGCTGTCCCCTGAAGTGGGGGCACTCCCACCAAACCTGGCTGTGGCCGGCGACAAGCCACAGCTCCACGTCTGGGAGCTGAGAGCCACGGCTGCTTCCTTGGAGCTGCTGCTATAATAACGTAGTTCCCTTTGTAGTCCTGGGAGCTAATTAAAGGCAGTTCTGTGGCAAGAAAATAAGAGTTTCTAAAATCCATTTGCTGGGTCTTTGTGATCTGTATTTCTCCTTCCATGCGCAAGATGGAGAAATGTAGGCTTGAAAACAAAGGAACCTTGGGAGACAGGGCTGGAGCGCCAGTCTGCCTGGGCTGGGTCCTTATCCTTGGAGCCTAGGAGGTGGCTGGCAGTAGCACGAAGGGCAGGCACCAAGGGAGAGGTGGCTTGTAGGCTGGGGTCTGTGGGGAGGCGGGAGTCAGGGGTCTGGGGTCTGACTGCCTTCCCAGTGCTTTTGTGGAGGGCCTGGCTCCAGCGTCCTCTCTCCTGCCCAGTTCTGCTCATGATATGCTCGCTGTGGGGGCCTGTCTCCCAAACCCCATCCCTGGAGGCTCACAGGGCTCCAGCTGCCAATTCCTTCCCCAAGGAGACATCCTCAGGGTCCCATCTGCAGGGCGCCGACCCCACGCTGCCCCCTACAGGGTCCCTAACTCGCTCTGAGCCGCCAAGCCTGGGCAGTCTCAGGGGGCCTGCAGGTTCCTCCTTGGAGCTGCATTTTAAAAGCATAAGACAAAATCCAAAGGATTACAAAGGGAAAGAAATGGACAGAAATACTCTTATCAAACTTAGAAAGCAAGTTTGTGACATAGTGACTCACTCTGTGTCTCTTCAAGAACTCACTGAGTGACAAGACCCCCGTGGCAGGCCATGCAGTCAGGATGAGCATGAATGATATTTCGGGTAATCCCTGACACCCCTGTGAGACCAAGAACACCTGTGATTTCCACTGGTGGAAAACCGCAATAGAACATGATGGTAAATTTCAGCTAGAGGCTGGGGGTAGGAAAGACACCGCCATCTCCAGCCTGATGTCACAAACCCCTACATTATATGAAAGGCAAAATCTCCAGGTCCATCCACGTCTAGTGTTCTCAGAATCTTATTCTGGCCGTTCTCTCATCCGTAGGCTTTTAACAGAAGGGGAAGGGTCTCCCTTTGCCCTCCACTGCCTCCTCTTCCTCCTACCTGTGTCCTCCAAGTGCCATCCCACCTCAGTCCCTGAGCAAAGTGTGATGGAGGTTTTCTGAGATCACCACCCCTGGAGTTTCAAACACCAGATTCCCAATTCCGACCTCAGACTGAGGAATCAGACACTCTAGGGTTGAGGCCTGGGCAGGTGGTCTTGCAAGCTCCCCAAAGTGATTCTGATGGGCCTCTCAGGCAGGCTTGAGGACTGCTGCCAGGAAAGCCCAGTCTCCCACCTGGCTCTGCCACCCCTGTGCTGTGGGACTGTGTCTGAGTCACTTGACATCTCTGGTTCCCTGTTCTCTCATCAGTAAAAGGGCATGCGAGAGCTGGATTTGGTGCTTCCTACGTGGGCTTCTCTGTCTCCCCCACCCGACTCCTCAGGGTCGTCCCTAGAATTATCACGGAGCATCTACTACCGCCGTGTCCCCATAGACCAGCAGGAGATGACTTCCCTTTTGTCTTCACTGACAAAGACAGGCTGAGAATGAAGTGTCCCATCCATGCCCCTGCCTTCGGGCACTTGTACTCAACCAGTGCCACGGCCTGCGCAGGGGCCTTCGAGGCAGCAAGGGAGAGTCGGGACTCCTGGAGAGTCCAACTGCTTGAGCGTGACATCCCCACAGCTCCCAACGAACCCTCTCCTCTTGGTTTCTCTGGCTTAAAAGAGTAGGGGTATTCATTTTGAGCCAAGGGATCAGAAATTCCCCTCAGTTCACTGTGGAGAGAAGGGGTCTGGGAAGAGGGTGGAGAGGCATTTGGCTCCCATCCTGCAGTAGAGGGGTGAGCAGGAGGTGAGAAGAAGGCAACGCTTACCCCCAAGGCTGGCTCACAGGGACGGTGGAATTCCAGAAGCTGGAATGGAAGGTGTGAGAGGGCATGGGGGCACCTTGGGGTCTACCCCCAGACAGAACAAGGGGGATTTATTCCCCCTGTGTGACAAATGGGGAAGCTGAGACCTAACGGCTGAGATCTAGACACTCTGTGTGACTAGGGACAAGTCCTTTCCTCTCTCTGGGCCTAAGTTTCCCCATCTGACAATTAACGGGCAATGGCCCTGAGGACTCCTGAGTGCCCACGCACAGCTCCGCCGGGGCCGAGCACCTTCATTCTGAATTTGCCCCATAAGGGCATCCCCCTCCCCGAAGTTCACCTTTGCTGAACCCTCACTCACACCCCCACAGGCAAATGCTCACCCGGGACACTGGAGGTGGCTGCCCCTCCAGGGAGGGAAGCCAAGGAAATGAGCCCAAACTGCCACATATAGGCTTTAAGGGGGCTCTGGGAAGCAAAGGCTTTCATACGTTTATTCAGTCATTTCCCAAAAGCTTATCCAGGTGTAGACTATTGAGATTCTGGCTCAGGCTTCAAAGTTAGGCTCTCCAGGTTCAGGTCCTGACTCTGCCCTCTGCTGTCACCTGCATGAGTGACTTCTCTTCTCTGTTGCTGGTTTCCTCATCTGTAGGGGATGAACCAACCTCACAGGGCTACAGAGAGCATCAAAGGCACTGCGTAGTTGCTCAATACGCATTTTCCATTTGTTGAACACCATGAGCCTGGCCTTGTGCTGGGAGCTCGAGGAGACTGGGTCAGAATCTCCATCTTAAGAGCTCACGTCTGGTGGAGAAAAAGATGGGTCAACAGAAAATTGCCCTGGGGTGTGATAAAGGTTGTATGGGAGAAGAACCTGGGCTGAGTTCAAAGAGGGGTACTGGCCCAGCCTTGGGGAAGAGAGGACAAGTCCTCTAGAGGAGTGAGTTAGAAGCTGGATCCCTAAGGGTGAAGAGGTAACAAAGACAGGGAAAGGATGCTCCAGGCAGAAAGAACGTCCTGGGCAAAAGCATGGAGGCAGGAAAGAATGGGCTGGCCTGGGGGCCCAGGGAGGGCTGGGAGCATGGTGTGGGTCTGGCCAAAGTCCCCCAGCAGTGGGTGGAGTTGGCCGGCAGCTCCTCCCCTGAAGATGCCTGGGAGAAGTGGAAAGGACTCTTGGGTATGAGGCGGGCCTGTGTGGAGGCAGGGGGTGAACAAAATGGCCCTGGGCAGGTCTGGCTGAGATGGTCTGACTCAGAGGTCACCGGACAGGGAGGAGGCTGCCCAGATCAGAGAGGTCATCACTGTATCCTTTCCGAAGGTCCAGGAACTTCCAATAACAAGGGGACTCTCTGTTTGAGCACTGAAAGCCCCACTGGAAACTCCTTCATCCCAGGCAGCCCTGGACTGCTGGTCACCCTGAGCACATGTGTCCATGGGGCCTCCCCCTCCCCGCCAACCCTGGGAGAAGAACGGACTGACCGCCAGCCCTTCTGAGCCCACTATGGTGCTTGCCTGGCGCCACGTCTGCTGGGTCCCTTTGACGGTGGCTTCTGAGGCTGCCCTGCACACACCCATCTCTCCAGACCACCCTGCCTGTCCAAAGTGCCCCCCAGGCTG